GCGATTTAAATCCGGAAAAATAGTTTCATTTCTTATATCGTTTTTACTTAAATTGAATTTTTTTTTAAAACTTGCGTTGGTTGGGAAGTAATCAAAATTGTTAGCTTTTAAATACCTGTAAACAATTTATGTTTACACATTGCTACCGCTATTATAAAAAAAAATTTGAACTAAACCAAAACCGGGTTTCTAAATACAGAGTTTCTACATATCGATAATTTGATTATAACATGCGGACCCAGTTCCAAGTGTAATACGACACTATGCAAGCAATTCATTGAGCGTTATTCGAATTGTTCTTTTGACGGCGGCGATGGCTAACAACCAATGTATATTGTTATTACTGGGTTGCAAGAAAATAGTTTTGTTTCGAAATTAGAGTATTATATTGTTAAAAATATTAGAAAATACAGAGTTTTAGTGCTTACTGATGAAATGAAATCACTCCCGGAGTATTTAAAAAAACTTTGGCTTATTACTTAAGTAGACTTGCTGTGCACCAGCAAAGTAGTGCACAGCCAGTCTAGAATTTTGGAGGTGCACGGTAAAATTGTATGGCGGTACAATTTTACCTAAGAATAATAATTTTGTTGAAACTAATTTTCAGAAAACAGACAGTTTCTCCTGAGCCCTGAGTTAAAAAAAAGCATGTGTCGGTTATGACCGAATGTTCTTTACATAGCACAAAATTTTGATTACCTGTGAGTCCTGAACAATGAGATCCAGTTTAAACTACTTTAAACTGTTCCATACATTTTTCTTTCAATCTTTTACGAACAAGTTTTTTATAAATGTGAAAAGAAAATTTATCTTAAAATTAAAATGCCCGTATATTTGTTCTCTCTAAAGTACACTCGGTCTCAATATAATCACGAAGAATTAGAATTAAAATATCTATTTTAGTAGAAAACAGTTGTATTTTTCAGTCTTACAAGGTAAATATTTCACGCGAGAGTATATAAATAATGTAGCAATACCGTAAGACGTTTTCTTAAACTGAATCAATAACCATGAAAAATAGCGAAAATTTCTTCAAAACAAAGTATATTTTAACATGAAAAGGCGCTTCGTAGTAATATCACAAGGATTTTACTCAAAATATTTAAATACTTAAGGACCTTGTGTTGACATGTTAGTTATGTGTCAAAATATCATTGAGATCAATCAGTACAGTAACATGAATTCACTTATTCTTAAAATTTTTAATAGCCGTCATAATTATTAAGTTAATTTTGACCAAGAAACAAACAATCTAAAAAACGTAATAGAAATATCAACCTCTAACTAAACAAATGTTTATGAAACTTAATAAAACTTTGCGTGTAGGGAGGTATTCTCAATTTCTAGCTCACTATTGGTTGTATCACTTTCTTCTCCGTTCTCAAATCGTCGATATCAGGTTCTTCCTATGTGAGATCCTCATCATCGTCTGCATCTTCTACTTCAGATGCATTTAAAATTTGATTGATTTCGTAATCTTGTAATACTACTAGTTAAAAATACAAATGATCGAAGTGAAACATCTTTATAACCGACTTCAAAAATGGAGGAGGCTCTCAATTCGAATGTATATTTTTATGTGTAGGTGTGTTACGCGATTACTTCTAATTGTGAACTAATTTTGATGATTATTTTCTGTTGGAAAGAGGGTACATCAGTATTGGTCCCATTTAAATTTGCAGAAAATATTTCACTTCTAAAGGTGGCAAACTAGGGGATGAAACTGCTAACCGCATACAATAAAACTTTGCAAATAGATGTAATTCCAATAAAAAAGCCGATAAGCAAACTTTTGAGGTCGTTTTTTTTTTAAATAAAATAGTTATAATTAGAAATATAATTTATTATTATCTATTTTAGAAAGGACAGTATTACTAAATAGCGACCGGAATTAATTCATGCAGAACAAATTAATGAAGTGAATTAACTGGATAATAACCGGACATGCTTTATAAAGAACAAACTCATAATCTACGTTTTTATTGATATTGTACTGTGGTATTCCGTGAAAATGATGATAAAACATATATTTGAGAGTATAAAAACAAAATAATATTTCAAAATAAACAAAAAATGTAAGACATTTCTGTGTTACAAATTTATATCAAAACTGTCATCGCACTAATGAAAAAAAGTCGAACCGTTTTCGGAGTAATGAAATTCAAAAAAAAGAAATTCAAGATTGTGATAGGTTACCTCATTATTTAGGTGTGCACGCTTCATTGTCGACCTCGTCACTTTTCATCAGGTGAGATTGAGGTCAAATGCACATTTATTTTTAACCGATTTAAAAAAAGAGGATGTTCTCCATTCGACTATGTTTTGTTTCTTTTTTTGTACGTACCTATGTTATGCGATAACTCATTTGTGAACCGATTTTTATTGATTCTTTTAAGAAAATATTCCGTCTCTAAGGGTGGCAAACCCTACCCTAGTCATCCCCATGAATCCGGTGTCGCGCACTATCCGGTAATGGATTTCAATAAAACTTGGCAAATATATGTAACACCACTCGCTTTTTAGGTCGGTTTTTTTATATAATAAATATATACGCTGTTTTTTGTCAAATGCATAGTTAATAATGTCTATTCCAAAAATACAAAATAATTTATTTTTACAAATGAACTTGTGCAGGAACATTACAATTTAGTTACGACAAAGAACCAGGTAACAACTCAATTGTAGCGTATATCGCGTACAGAGTATTTCCTACGATTCCTGCACTAGACAAAGCCTGTCTCGCAAGTAATCGATAAAAACATTGTTACTGTTAAAAGAATAACGCCAAAGCAAGGAGAATTTTGTTAAAAAATTATTATTATTATTATTATTATTTTGGAAAAATTGTACATATTATGATCAAAAATTATTATTATTATATAATACATTGTTTTATTTTATCTTATCATATTTTTATATTATTATATTAGATTATATAGATATTGTATAATGTATAATATTCATTCTATTTTTAATTCAATACCAATTACCTTATTATATACATTTATAAAGGATGAGTGTGTGTGTTTGTGTGTGTGTGTGTGTGTGTGTGTGTGTGCGTGCGTGCGTGCGTAAGTGCGAGCGTGCGTGCGTGTGTGTGTGCGTGCATGTGAGTCGGTGGGTGTGTGCGTGCGTGCACGTGTATGCGTGTTCGCGTGCATGCATGTACGAAGGATTGAGGCAGTGAACTAGCGCACCTCCTTTAGTAAGTCCTCTATTTCATTGTATGTCAACGTATTATATTTCTGGTTTTCAGGCTCCGAACATATTAATCTTATATTCAAATTCTCTGATTGGATACTAAAAGAACAACCCGAGGAAGGATTAAAAATATTCACAGAAGATATTGTGGAAGTAGAAAATCTGCCCCGTCCAAAGATTTTGGATTTCCTACTAAGAGAACATGAGCCTCTAGTGATACCGTATTTGGAACACGTAATACATACCTGGAACGACACTACCCCACTGTTCCACGACGCCTTGATAAGTATGTATAGAGAAAAAATAACAGATAAAAAAGAAAATAGTACTGAAGAAACGTTGCAACACACGAAATCGAAACTTCTAGCGTTTCTTGAAAAGTCTACGTCTTATACACCAGAAAGGGTGATATTACATTTTCCCAATGACAGTCTGTTCGAAGAGAGAGCTGTGATTTTAGGGAAGCTTGGGAGACATGAACAGGCGTTGGCTATTTATGTGCAGATTTTAGGTAAGTCTTGATAAGGTTATTTAAAAATTTTGTTTATTTTTAAGTTTACCATGACCGGTGAAGGAAAACGTCGTGACGAAACCTGCACGTTGAAGAAGGTTCATAACTCCCGGAAAACGTGTGAAGTCCCCAACCCGCATTAGGCCAACGTGGCGTAATATGGTCTAAATCAGCCTTTCCCAAAGTGGGCGATAACGCCCCCTTGTGGGCGCTGCAGGCCTAAAGGGCGGTAAGAGACCCAGAAAAAAAATGGGGGCGTTGTGTAGAGGCTTAGGGGGAGATTTGTAATTTCATCTAGGAAGACTCTTAGACACCGACTGAGCTCTCTACTCTCGACTACAACTTGTGAACATCAACTAATATTAATGAAGAGATTGCTCAAACTAACTCGGTTCGATATTTCTCTCCGTGTAGTTCATATATCTGTCCTGTTTTATTGAATAAATAAAATAAAAATCATGTCAATCGGTCGCTCCGTTTCGAAATGAAAGTAGACACAAACACACAAATAAAAAGGCTACAGACACAGTTTCGCATTTTAATAGTTATTAGTATTCCTAGATAGATAATTTTCGTAGATAATAGACCACGGCTAGATTGCTTATGCAATCCTATATAAACAACGTAATATTTATTTTATTTTTATTTGCGGTTTTGCGCGTAATAAATAAGCAGTACTTAAGTTCAACACTTATTTACGTATTTCTCAAAACTAAACAATTTCCGAAGTAAAAAAGAAAAAACGACAATACTGTGCGGAATATGTTAAATTCGGATTCATTGAAAATCCCACAAACCCATCGTCGCCTTTGTGCCTTCTATGTCTAAAAACATTTTCGAATGAAGCATTGAAGCCTTCAAGACTGCAAGATCATTTGAATAAAATGCATCCAGATATGAAAGACAAGAATGTGGCATATTTTCAAGACCTAGAGAAGACGCATAATACTCAGCCATGTGTAGCAAAACTCTTTTCGGCGGCTGCTAGGCAAGATGACGACGGACTTCGAGCTTCGTACAATATCTCTTTGTTAATTGCTCAAAAAGGCAAACCGCATAACATCGGAGAAGAGTTAATTTTAATTTTGCCAGCAATAAAGGACGTAATAACTACTGTGCTTCATAAACCGGCCGCAGATATTATCCGAAAAATTCCTTCGAGTAATAATTCTGTGCGAAGACGAGTTGATGAAATGGCTAAAAAAATTGAAGAATCATTGCGCAATCATCTGAGGACTAGTCAATTCTCAATTCAGCTCGATGAGTCCACTTTACCAACTAATGAAGCATTGTTGCTGTCTTACGTGAGGTTTATTAAAAATGAGAAAATATGTGAAGTACTAAGTATTGTTTGCTAGAAATTTAGAGACCGATACAAAAGGCGAAACCATATTCAATACATTGGAAAAGTTTTGTGATGAGAAAGAGATTCCCTTGAAAACTATTATATCAGTTGCTACGGATGGCGCTCCGTTCTTTTATTTTTTTTCCATCTTCTAAGCTCCGGCTATGACAGGATGCCTTCATAGCGTACTTAAAAAATAAAATTCCTGACGTTCTTGCTGTACATTGCGTTATTCATAGACAACATTTGGTTGCTAGAAATTTAAGTGAACGACTATTTCAATCACTGCAATATGTCATCAAAGCAGTCAATAAAATCCGTAACAGGTCTTTGAATGATAGATTGTTTCATCAGCTTTATATTACTAATAACGAAGATTTCAACCGTTTGTTGTTTCATACTGAAGTTTGTTGGCTATCAAGAAGCAATAGTCTGACTCGATTTTACAACCTGTTTGTCTTTGTGATAGAGTTGTTGGAAACTAAAGATACAGAATTGCGCAACAAGCTCATTACATCAAAGAATGATATAGCTAACATGATAGACCTGTATAAATTTTTCAACGACATGAATCTCCAACTGCAAGGCGATGAACTAAATTTAATTAAAACAAAAAATGTCGTTGCTGCTTTCACAGCCAAACTGCTTCTACACAAAAAGAATATGGGCAGACGTGAATTTTACAATTTTCCGAATTTATCATTATCCTGCAGTAACGACGACTTGTTTGCCTACTGCCAACATTTGGAAAACCTCCACATTGACTTCACCGAACGATACCAGGACATTTTAAACTTGGAATTATCAGACTGGGGGTTGGATCCTTTGTCAAATGTCAACACAGCAATATCACCTCAGCTGGAAGAAGAACATATAGAATTGACAACGAACGAGGAAAAATTCAAGTCAAAAATGGCTACCAAGAATTTTGGCTACAAAAACCGATCCCGCAATTGTACCCTGGTTTGTGGTCAACCGTTCAACGATTCTTGATAGCATTCCCATCGTCATATTTGTGTGAACGTGGTTTTAGTGCTGTGATAACGCTGCTTACTAAAAAGAGAAATCGTTTGCATGTTACCGAACGTGGTGACTTGCGGCTGTTCTTGAGTAATTTGGAACCTGATATCAACAAACTTATTAAACAACTTCAAATTCATCCTTCACATTAGTTTTTATATTAGAATCGATTATGTTTGTTTTATTTTGAATATAATCTCAGTACAGAGTACTAAAAAAACCGACCTCAAAAGTACGTGGAATTACGTCTATTTGCTAAGTTTCATTGAAATATCCCCTAGTTCGCCACTATACAGGATATGATACTGGAGATAATAAAAATAGGTTCTCACTACGACACTACTCAAAGTTTATCGAGAGAAAAACGCCTTGAATTGGAGAAATAGCAAAATCAACTAAATAATTGCTAAAAGTAATTGCTCCTAAATTAAAGTTAGGCGCTATTTATAAAAATGAATCTTCATGCGTGAACAGCCACTCTTTGAGGTGGATGGTTTTCTTCAAAATGAAATGGGACCACTATGGAAATACCCCCTTTCCAACAAAAAAAGAATCATGAAAATCGGTTCACAAATACCGGAGTTATCGCGTAACATACATACAAAAAAAAAAGAAAAAAAAGAAGAACATGCAGCCGAATTGAGAACCTCCTCCTTTTTTGAAGTCGGTTAAAAAGATTCTCTATCTGAATACTATAAAGTTGCGTTTCAATAATCATTCTCATTGGCAGGTGTAGCCCGTAAGAGTTAACTTGAGACCTGAGCGCCGTTGTGTATCTACTGCGCTCAGGTCTTAAGTTAACTCTTGCAGGTTATAGTAAGTCTCGTTTAGAATGAATGTTTAATCTCCGCTAATATAGCTCACAATAATTAATTTAATTTGAAGTTATAGTGGTTTTTAAATAGGTGAAAAATGGGGGCGCTAAAAAATAATTTATTCTCAAAGTGAGAAGTAGACAAAATAACTTTGGGAACCCCTGGTCTAAACTCTCGCCTGAGAGGGGACCAGTGCCCAGCAGTGGGACGTATAAATGGGTTGATGATGATGAAGGTATTACATGCAATACGGCGTGTATAATATTGCAAGTATCTTAATATTGCCAGTCCGTATTGGGCCCTCGTCGAATTTTAAGCCCAAACCATAATAATAATTGTGACATCAGACCTGTGCTCAGCAGTACTAAGGCTGTATAGGCTAATGCTATGACTATGTTTTAATTATTATTATTATTATTATAACGTGCACTTATTATTGTAACACACTCATAGCCCCGCACTAGGGAAGCCCTGTATCGCGGGTGCCATGGACACATACATAGACAAACACAAATTACACCTAAATTCACGAGAAAAATAAATGTAGGCCTTTTAAATATTTCTTCCGGGACGGGAATCGAACCCGGGACCTCTTGCGTGGCAGTCCAAGATGGTAACCGTTCGACCACGGAGGCAGTTAATATTAGTAACTATAAGTACGTGAGGGCATAGTGGTATGATATTATTGAAGAATATGCGGCGCCATCATCTAGCAACTCTTAATTAGAACAATCGTCTCATTTATTGTAACCTTTTCAAACGAGAAGTATGGTTTATGAGTATGTTAATTTTATTTTAACGCGTAACAATGTTATTTGTTCATGGAGTGTGTTCGGGCGGAATCTATAATGGTGCGGTTATTTGCGCAGTTTGGTTTTAGTACATTTGTGTGGTTTTAATCCGTTTTGTCTGAGCCAACAAGTAGTTTTGCGAAGATTTTGTATACATGTTTGGTTAGGTACTATTTCATTTGTCTATGAAATATTTTCTTGATGTATTGTTTTCCCAATGGGTACATTTTCAATAATGATCAAAGCTCCTTAATAAATCAAGAGAAAAAAATGCATTTTAACTTGCAAGTAGGGAGGAAATTCTATAACACTAAAATTACGCCATTCTTCTCTTCTTCTTTGGCATACACTATACTATTGTCTCCCAGAACTCAGCCACGCCCTCATCGTGAAAATGCTGATAATGTTAATTGCCTAAATTATTTTGATGATTTTTATAATTTCAGGTGACGTTGAAAGCGCAATACGGTATTGCGAAAATGTAACCGAGAATATGAATGACAAGAATCAAGATGTTTACGTGGTCTTAATGAGAATATTAATGAGCCCAGAGCAAAACGTTCTCACTGGACCTTTGGCCAACGTACAGAGACACCCGAAAACAGCCATTCCCGATTTGGAGACAGCTTTAAACATACTAGAAAAGCATGCCGATAAAATTTCGCCATTGAAGGTTGGTGCATTTTGTTATTGGCGTTATATTTTTTGTTTGGTATGTGGGGTTACCAAGACCGATAAGGTATATCGCAGTTGTGCACTTTCGCGATAACGTACAGACGGCAGCATAATCAAGCTACACATTGACGGATCTTGTTCCGTTGCACTGGAGGCGACATTCGAACAAAAGCTTGATGTGCTGTTGACTGTACATTGCGATGACGTGCTTTCGCAGCTTACGCAGCTTCAACATTCGCTGTAATCAACTTGAATTGTATTAATTCTATTTTTATTGTAGAAAGTAACAAAGATTTGAATGCAGTACATTGATGGTAGTGTCGCCTTGCTTATTACGTTATAGCCATAGCTGATGCGCGTTCTCACAAAAAAACATACAGTCGAATTGAGAAACCCTCCTTTTTTAAAGTTGGTTAACAGAAAACACTAACTCAACTTAAAACGTATTCCAAAATTATAACATACACTTTACTGTTTAAAATATACTTATATATAATATACAGTACTTATTAACGTACATCAGTTACTTACCTATACATATAATATATTTAACCTATAACTGTCAGCGTTATTATTATTGGGCAGTGGCGAGGCGTGTTAATTGTCGTTAGTAAAGCCGGAGCAAAACAAAAAACACCTACCTGAAGAAAAAGTCGCGCCTTGGCGACACATACAAACAACTTATTAGCACACAAGGTACTAGTATACTTCACTAGTTAACTTATTCTATACATCAAATTTAGCACAAAATGTAGTATCTGATAATACGGCATTTTACTTTGGGGTAATGCCGCCGATGTCAATAGAATCTTTGTCCTGCTTAGACGTGCGGTTAGGGAAATTTACAATCTGGGCCCCAGAGTGTCTTTGAGAGATAAGTTTAAGTAAAATAACATTCTTACACTAGCCTCACAGTACATTTATGAAAATGTAATTAATGTTAAGAGGAATAGTAATTTCTTTATGAAAAATAGTGACAGCCATAACATTAATACGAGGAATAAAAATAAACTAGCTGGGGCCCTACCATGAACTCTTATTACGATTCAGTCTAGGACGTAAAACGAATCATTGTGAGACAGCGCTACATGAAGTGTATATCACTATCCCGCTTTTTAGACGTTACGTACCTATACTGAACTGTAATAAGAGTTCATGGTAAGGCCCCTGTTCTTGATAGTCGTCTTCACAAAGTCAAAAAATCATTTCGGGGGCAATGTATACGCTTCTATAACAAGAATCCGGTTGATAATACACACAACAAAATTTGCCTTCACGAGGTTTAAAACTATAGTGAAACAAAAACTTTGTACTAAAGTCAAAATCAAAGTCAAAGATTATTTATTCCATAGGTAAAATAAATTTACACTTGAAAACGTCACATTTAAGCTACTGCTCGTTCACTACGCTGACCTCCCTGAGAAGAACAAGCAAGAAACTCTAGGGATTGCTATTTTCAAATAAACTTTAATGCTATGGAATACACTTTGAATCAAATTTGTGTGGATTCTGGAGCCATGTCGTCTTTCCATACATCTTTATCTAACACGTAGTCTTCAATTTTGTAATATGATTTTTCGATTAAAATATTTTTAATGTAGTTTTTAAACTTAGGAAATGATAAACTTAATATAGGCCACGGAATCTTATTGTAAAAACGTATACAGTTCCCCATAAAAGAGTTGTTTACCTTGGTTAAACGAAATCGTGGTACCATGAGTTTGGACTTAGCTCTAAGGTTAATATTATGGATATCTTCTTTCTTATTGAAATTATGTATATTTTTACGGGCATATAAAATATTTGAGTAAATGTACTGTGATGCCACAGTCATAGTACCAGTCTCCTTCAACTTTTCTCTGAGAGAAACCCGACAGCCTAGACGGTACACAGAACGAATCGCTCGTTTTTGCAATACAAATATGGTTTGAATATCTGCCGCTTTACCCCACATGAGAATCCCGTAGGACGTTATACTATGGAAGTAACTAAAGTAAACTAGTCTAGCAGTACTAACGTCGGTAAGCTTACGTATTCTGCGGACTGCGTATGCAGCTGAGCTTAATCTGCTGGCCAGGGAAGATATATGTGGAAACCATTGAAGTTTACTATTTAAGGTCACCCCCAAGAAGACTGCTTTATTAACAAGGTCTAACTTTTCTCCGTTTATTTCTATGCTTGGACTAGTCGATTTTACGTTAGGTAATTCAAATTTAACACATTTTGTCTTGTTGGCATTAAGCAATAAATTGTTAGCATTAAACCAATAAAGTACCTTACAGAGGGTATCATTAATATGGTCATAGTTAATGTCATGTCCGTCTGTTTTAAAAATCAAGGATGTGTCATCAGCAAACAACACTATTTCGCAATGGTCCTTGACAAAGAATGGCAGATCATTAATATAAATCAGAAATAAGAAAGGTTTAAGCATTGAGCCCTGCGGAACACCCAATTTTACTGGAGAACCCAAAGAAGTCACTCCATTTATGTCTACTTTCTGAGTTCTACCGTTGAGTTATGACGAGACAAGCTTCGACGCCTTGCCATTTACACCGTAATGTTCCAGCTTCATAATACGAGTAATATGATCAACAAAGATTATTATACAACTTCTGCGTACTTGGGTAACCCGTTTAGCTCAAGGAGGTAGTCTCGATCTCTGATGTTTCAAAACAAAAAAAAAATATTGTAAATGTTGAATGTTTACAAATGTTATTTACAAAGAGCAACTCCTAGAGTTTCTTGCTCATTCTTCTTAGGGGAATCTGCCTTACGAATGAGCGGTAGAGTATAACCATTGTAACGATTTCAAGTGTAATAATGCTTACTTATGAAATAAAGATTATTTTGAATTTGAATTTACGTTAAAATTTTAGGCAAGCTGTTGAAAATCGAGTTACATGGACGCCTCACCACTGTTATTGGGATACGGTAAATGTTGAGTTAGTGTTTTCTGTTAACCGACTTAATAAAAGGAAGGAGGGGTTCTCAATTCGTCTGTATGTTTTTTGTAAGATATGTTTTATTTGTATGTGGGAGTAGCACACATAATATTGTAGAGGCCCAATTCGTGTAGTTTATTACATTAAGCTGTTATTATGCTGTGTATTAAGCTTTAAGTGTTCAACAGTGATACTCCAATTTTGTTAAAGAAATTTCTATTGTTAACATACATAGTTCCTTGGTTTCTGGTTTTCTGCAGGCACTCGCCGTTTTACCAGACTCCGTACCTCTTGGCAGATTAAAACACTTCCTCGAGAGCTCTCTCGATGGGCAGCTGACACTCAAGAGACGCACTCAAGTTCTCAAAGGGCTGCTATATGCTGAACATTTACAGGTAATTTTGCTTCTAGTATATTAGAACTGACTTTTACATTTTGGACTTGAACCGTTTGAACTTGAACTTAAATGGATAGACCAGTGCGGAGGATCTCACATTTATGAGATTACTTTAATATTAGACCTTTGATCTTCGATTGATCAAACGAAAGCAAAGTAATTCAAGGTTTACATTAAGGTTAATAACAAAAATGTCAGAAGATGTATACGCAAAATTAAATTTTCGTACTTTTTTGAGTAGACGTAATTAGTTATATAAAATTCTGTAACGTATGTCGCTCTTCTAATTTTCTTAACCATATACGATATTATCTCTTTAGAAAATCACATTTTAAGTTGTAACTTATACCCAACTTGTGTTATCTATGAGTTTTAATCATAATAATTATGTATAATCTCAGTACAGAGCACTAAACAAACCGATCTCAAAAGTTCGTGGAATTATTAATTTATTTGCCAAGTTTTATTGAAATCGGTAGGACACCAGGACACGAGAAGACTAAATCAGGTGTAACATGTTTTTTTATGGGCATGCACACATGGATTTTATAAGTTATTTAAACTCATTGATAATAATTGTAAAATGTAAGTGTATGTCACAATAACAATTTGAATAACGTGTAAATATACAAATGTTATAAAGTCATAAATTAGACAATGAAGTTAGTAAGGATTTCTTATTTAAAAATTAGGACACTGTATAGTACATTTTATTGGTCCATAATTTGATGAATTGTTTTTGTTTGAAATAGCATAAAGTTTTTCACAGATCTGAGCACTTAGGGTAAACTATTATACACTTTTGGCGCCATTACAAAAATACTTACATGAACATAAATCTTTTTCTGGTTGGACGCAGCAGATACATTACATTCCCTGTCAGTAAATATGGTGACTCCCTTAGGCGAAGTCTAAATATATGTAGTCTTTATATTGACAGAAATGTCTGTTTGTTAGGTGGAAGAGTTGAAACAGTTCCACGAGTCGAAGAACGTGGTTATCAACGACTACAACGTATGTCCCGTGTGCAAGAAGCGTTTTAACAACCAAAGCGCATTCGTGCGGTACCCCAACGGTGATATCGTGCATTATAAGTGTAGAGTCGAGAAGTAGTTTGTTTGATACGTATTATTTTATTATATCGATATTTCGGTGAAGAAAGGGCGTAAAAGGCAATTTTTATCAATATAAGTTATTATTGTGTGCTTGGGTTATATTTTCCTGTTATCGCGGATTGTCTACCCGAAATGGTTTTTATATGTAAACATAGAACTAGAACTAAAAAATATATGAACCAATTGATGGTCTTTTACTCGTCATGTACACTTTGTAGCATGGTTTTTACGCCCTTTCTTTCCCTAGAAGATATGTAGAATGAAATTAATAATTTAAACTTTAAGAGGAGGTGCTGTTCATTCATTAATAACGAAAACTGTAATTGTTGCAAGTTGTGAAAGTTAAGTAGAATTTAATCTACTTCTCTTATAAGGCAATGTAACAATTGATCCATTTTTCGAATGTATATTTTGATGGGTAAAATCTCTTCTTCTTATAAACACCGTGTATTTTAAGTAATATTGATCCGCTATTTTAATAAATTGGTGGTGTCCAAAAATAAGTAGCAGAAGAAGCAGCTTCATTAGCTTATAATATAACAGAGTTGAGTAATATTTCATAAATGTATAGCATTGTTCATATGAAGTACAGTTAGCAACTAGTTCCAATAATTATCTTGTGTGTAGTCTTTATTTTTTTAGCGATATTTTCGTTATCTTTTAATGATTGATTAAGAAGCTACACACACTATGTAACAGGCGAATCGAGGGATTCAATACAATTTCGACTGTGCGCGGTGCGGTGAGATCCATTTCACATTTATTCAAGGAAATGACATGTGAAATGAAACTAACTTCATAATTTAAAAGTATATTTTCCTAAATTACAAAACAGGTTCGTATAGTCGTCGTATTGCATCTGATTATATATAAACATACAATAATTATTATATTATTGTATATTTTTGGAGTCATAGTCACAATTTACACAGCAATATTGCATTGAAACACTTGAGATCCCGAAGGAATTGTATTAAAAATGCTTTCGTATATTGTCATGTGTATTACTATAAGTTGAATAATGTCCCTAAATCTATGTACAGATTTGTAAACAATGTATGTTGTAAGTTAATGTAAAATATTTAGTCATTATATTAATTCTTGTGTATTACATTGTATGTGTAATCTTATTTAATAAATTTATGTACAATAACCATGTAAAGAATTAAAATTATTTAGTAAAATTTTCTATGACATGTTTTTGTGTTTTATATACCTATACCTGCTTATAATATACCTTGTATTGCAACTGATCACTGCTTTATCTAATCTATTCACGTGAAATTTGTTATTTGTTATATACCAGTAAAATAAAAAGCGCGGTTCTAAAAATTTTATTTCGGTGACGATTTGTAATGGCTCGGTCGCCCACGCGTCGGCTGCCGACGACATCACAATGTTTAGATAATTACGAGCAAACCTGTTCTACCCGAATATCCTTATTATTCCTTTATACGCCAACTTGAATTTGAATTAGATAAATGTAACTAGTATTAAATAGCGAGGTGAATAGAAGAAAATCTTACAATTAGTTCTGTTCTGAGTTTACAAACTTGACCTAATTTAATTCGTAGCTTATATCAATACATTAGGAGAAAAACGATATGGACGCTTTCACATTAAAAATTAGGGATAAGTGACAATTGTTTACTTTCACTTTAAAGGTAAGGATCTAGCATATTATCTACAAAACACGGTACGTACGCACGTGATTTTAGAAATGTGACGGATAGGTACGCTTTCTAAATTGAATAATTCATTGAATGTTTAATTAATCAGATAACTGTATTTGTCGATCTAAAGACTTGTTTATGTGAACGAGAATTTCGACGTGTAGAAGATATTTAATTAGCTGTCTGTTAAGTACTTACATACATACCGACTTATATGTAAATAGCCAGGTACATTCACCTGTTTAATTATTTACATTAAATGACTAGAGTATATAGTATTAATTTTTTTATTAATAGTATTGATTTTTTGGAATGCTTATACTGTTGGAGAAATTGTTTCTAATGAAAGTTACGATTTTGATCAAAAGCATATACTTACGTGGGTATTTATACATAAAACTACTTTATGAGGTTATGAAGCATATTTTACTGCGATATCGAATGTGTGATATGCAGTGTTAGCAAGCAGATTCTTTATAAGATGAGTTATGTATGACTTCTCAGTCCGCGTGTTTACGGTAAGATACTTGGGCTACGATGCGTGTACTCAGTGCGAGGTAGTTATCAGTTTTCCGTTAATTGGCGGTGTGAACGCGGCCGCACGCGTTTGCTATGACGCGGCGGTGACGCAACTCGCGCGCCGCTGAACGGGGGCCGTCTCTCGCGCCTTTCCGCCGCCGGCCTCTGTGGCCCAATGGATAAGGCATCGGCCTCCTAAGCCGAGGATTGTGGGTTCGAGTCCCACCAGAGGTACATGTCAGTATTTTTGTAACGTATTAATGAACTAATCATAGTCGTTATGTTAGTTAATTTCAAGAGAGCTTTCGTAAGATTGATCTAAGAAAGTTAAAGCGCGATAACAGCGACTTTTTTTGTTTTTCTTTGTAAAGATTTTTATATGACATGTGTTATTTAGCAATTACTTACCGTAGTATGAATAATGTAGTACCTTCCATTATTAATACTATGTCAAGTAGGTAATTGAAGTGGTGTTTTTCTGTTTAATTTTTATGAAACTTATAATTAAGCACTTAAGATTTCAATAGAAATCAACGCATTTAATAACTTATTTACCTGTACGACCAATGTTGTGTGTTCACGCTATTTATAAATTAGGTAGGTAGTTAATGTTGATTTGTTTTTTAGTAGAATTGGTGTCTACATTTTGTTCGATATGTCCATGAAAATGGTTACGTCTCAGTATCTACCTACACTTGTCACCCCTGAATTTCATAACTCGTTGCGGCTGACAATGGCATGATTTACCGTGGCTATACATCTGACATAGATAAAGCTATCTGTACAATATTGCGGCGGTGGATCGGTACCGCCCGGCGTACTTACCGACTATTATAAAAACTCCCATATCGCGGGGAAAGCTAAGATATGATAAGGATACAATTTATTGATAACGCTTGCCGAACATCGATCAGTCGATAGGATCGCAGTCCACTCGCGTCTCTTCTGCCATCAAATTATCTACCGAATAATTAGCCGTACTCGTTTTGAGCACATACACTTTATCGACGGAGATTGGTGGCAATAAATCGATTAAACTGACATAATATTGTCGTTATCAAACAAAAATCTTTTGGCGATAGTAATTTGAGATTTTGTTGTTTAGATTTGTTTTCTACTGTGAGTGTATATGTAGTGTAGTGTATGATGATAATGATGGGCGAAGGCGATATGGGTTATGGGGATTATTACAACTATGACAGCTGGTCAGTGATGCCGCCAGAGTACGGTGCCGATCCCGGATATCAGTACCGCCAACCACAGATGGAGGAGGACTACCGGTACAATTCATATGCGTAAGTTCCCATTATCAGTTATAATAAAGGGGAAAAATAACACTGGGAAGCAGCACTGAGTTAAGTAAGTTGTGATTTTGCAATAGGATAGCGATTGGTAAACCCGACTTCACGATTAAGTAAATGTTAACGCATGTAACTGTTTGATATGTGACACACTCTGAACAGGCAGAACTGTGACGCATAAATCCATGATAGAGAACATGCTTACGGAATATACTTACTACCTATATTATTTGTTATTATTATTTGTTTTAGGCACGGTACCTATTAATTTCAGTAATAGTAGCCTCTTGTGAAAGAGTTTGTCCGGAGAAGTACTGCCACCTTACTATTTCTACCGCCAAACAGTATTTTGAAGTGTAAGTAGGGTGCTGGTGAAACTATAGGCGCATGGGACTTGTCAACTTATATCTTAGGGTGGCAAGCGCACTAGCAGTGCTCATCAGATCTTTGTGTTTTAAAGCTCTGAGTAGCACTGAAATTGCTATGGACATTGCCAGTCGCTTACTACTAGGCCCATTATTGTTTGTCCCGTCACTTATGTCCATTTACTTACACTTAAGTACCTACGTCTTAAACAAATGCTTGCAATGCGAAAGACACTCTTAATACATTGTGTTAAGAGTGTCTTATCATAGGAAATGAAACTATTTTTCCGGATTTAAATCGCGTATATTTGTTTTTTCAAACAAACCGACGTTTCGGTCCCTTTACAGGTCCCATGGTCACGGTTGACCTGTAAAGGGCCCGAAACGTCGGTATGTTTTAAAAAACAAATATACGCGATTTATATCTGGAAAAATAGTTTCATTTCCTATGTGTAACAATCGCGAAAACCTAAGAACTCGATAGTGTCTTATCAATTTAAGGGTCGTATTCCATAACTCTAATCAATGCTCAAGTCAGGACTTGAGCAGACTTGAGTATGATTTCAAGCACTGGAAATACGGCAAGGACTTGAGTATGATTTTCAGTGCTCACTGCAATATTCAAGTCCTGACTTGAATATTGAGTAGAGTTCTGGAATACGACCCTAAGTATTGGTTTAAGATGTAGGTACTTTAGTGCAAATGGACAGTAGTATCATCAAAAAATAATAGTTCGGAGTTTCTACTTAAATGTCACAAAAATAGTCAACATGAAGACTGATAGTTATTATTAAGAGAGTGTTTACTTGGTTAAAACCCAGAGCTGTTAACGTCTGTTTCACGCAATGTACTTAGCAAATGATCCACATCAATGTACCCAGATTCGGTATTACATATTGATTGTTTTTCGACTTCCATTCTCGTGTGAGTTTAGAATATGGATTATTAGAGATACAACGTTGCACGCGAACCTAGCATTGTCGTTGTAAAAATGGCTGGTCGGCGAAATCAGCTAAGTGTACTGAAATTGACTACGAGCATGGAAACAAGTTTATATTCCTCGTCGTCGTTTTACTTCATTTTCTTTTATTGAAACAAAGTTCCCTGCTTGAAATCTATGTCTAGGTACTCTATTTGAATGGATTAAGTTGTAACACTATATATCTGCAATAATATATATTTCAAGTAGTTGTATTTTGTGTGCCGTACTATTTCTATGAATTTACTGTATCTATCACTTCAATAACTACCAGTAGGGACAGCAGGTCAATTGAAAAGATAAGGTCGGTAAGAAACCAGGCTGATTCATAAACGAAATATTCTGTCCAAGCACAACACTGTGCTATTTATTATTGTGTTTGAATATTATTTTGTAAGTAATAGTATTTTTCCTGTATGTCCTATGCTTGGCTGATTATTTATATTACAGATATGGATGTTGTTAGTGTGTCGTAGGTTGCGTGTTCTGCACTTATATTCCCGCGGTGGATCGCGCGGTGAGTACCATCGAGCTCGTAATCCGCCAGCTGCGCTTTCTCCCATGCCTTCGTGGAGCCCTTAATTGGTTTGGAAACCCTCTTCGCAGGTTGGCGTGCTTCTAACCATTTAGTCCCACTGCGCTTAACCAGATTGCCATAACGAAATATTCGTGAAAACCCATCGAGTTGCCTCTTCGCTCGCTAACGCTACATAACTTGTAAAAATTTGGGAAAAATTGTGAATTCTTCATCGTAAATTCTTTACAAAGTGCCTACGTTAGGTGTTGACTGACGTGTGCGGTTGCCGTTTGTTCTTTTTGTCGGATTTAAGTGAGGAGCGAGGGAGGAATATATTACAACCTGCCGGTTTAGAGCACGGGGGCTGCCCATGAACAAAAGGCTTAATTATAAAAAGTTTATCAGCTCTTAAATTATGTGTCGTGAAGAAAGTTATCCGGTAATTTGTTGACATAGGCTGTACGAGTAATGTTAGCAAGTTTGGTCATAGGGTAGTTTTTTCTCGCTGCTGTCGGCGCATGGTACGGACCGCGCGGGTTACTCAAAACTATACTTAGCTTGATATTCAACTTTTACACAAATTGCTTTCCTATCGTGCTTCTATCGGTCCCCATTATTTTATCATTAGCCATTGCAAATAACCAAGGACGGTCCTTTTAAATTTGGTGCGTAATGATAACCTATTTGTGAATTAAATGGTATTCGGATTTTTCGACTTCACATAATGCCACGAAAGTTTTTTTAAATGTTCTCCTCCTGTAATTGTTCCGTTATAGTTCCGTTATAAGTAATACTGGTACATATTAGGAGTATTTATTGTTACGTATTTATTAATCTTTATCACTAAACTTACACGTTAATATCATAAACGAACTTGAACATGTATGAGCTACGCAGTTGATTATAACCAAGAAGATATATGTTACTTGGTTACTTTTCTGTAGCTTAAAAGACCAGTTTGCGGTAGTACACGTGGTGGTTAGATTGAAATAGTTAAAGAGATATTTATGATCGAGTGCAGAGTCGCAGGCGCCTCTGACGCCGACGGGCGATCACCGATGGATGCAATGTGTAGTGACTAGTGACCCGTGGCAGGGAGGGCTATCGCACCTGCCCGTTTCCCCTCACAAATCTGGCCCTCGCAGCTTTATGTAGGATACGTTGAAAATGCAGATAAAATTGTTATCGCCTACGTCTCATATTTTCATGCGAGAATAATACGGATGTAATTAAGAGTTATATAAATATAAAAAGTAGACTCTGAATTAAAGAGCTTGTTTTTTTTCTATTAAGAAATACAAACAAACTGCACAGTACTCTCTCAGATGGGGTAAAAAGTTGAACCTATTTATAATTTGTCTTACAGTCCAAGTATCCTAGGCAATGAATTTGGGTACTGCAATAAATTTTAAATTTGTGTCCTTTTGAGACTTACATATTTTCATGTGCTTTAATTTTTATAATGTAGTTTTTTTCTATAATAATATAATGTAATGCATACTTTCATGTCATGATGCCACGGACACACGCATCGACAACCACAAATTACACCCAAACTCATGAGAGAAATAAATGTAGGCCATAAAAATATTCATCCCGGCCCGGGAATCGGACCCGGGACCTCTGCCTAGCAGACCGGCATGGTATCCGTTGGGTCACGGAGGCAGTTTAAACATAATTATAATTACTTATATGTGTGTTTATTTACACGAAGAATACATACGCATTAGCACAATTTACTTTTATTTTCCCAGGAATGGTGAGTATCTATTTATTCTGGCTTTTTTGTCTACCATGCATACTATACTATAATAAAACCGATGAACGATGAGCAAGCGATGGTTGCGATAGATATTTTAAAAACTCATTCTCAATAAGTCAATTAAACGTTTCGTGAGCGTACTCGGACTCGGGGGTGCCTCCCAATATAAATAATTGCCCTTTGTTGTGCCCTTTAATGGGAAAAGTGGTGCATGCATGCATCGTGCTTTATACCCATGAAACTTGTTAGCTGTTTTTTGTTTAATTTCACATGGTTTACATTCGTTTAGGGAATATTTTATTTTAATTAGCTCTGCTTTTGCCATTAAGGACTTTTTGCAATAGGAAGTTGAACGTAGTGAAGAATGTAAGTATTAATAAAATATACATTGCTCCAGTATCCCATACAATAGATTTGTAGCAGGTTACGATATTTTACTAAAAAAAAACGATCGCAATTTATACAAAAAGCCGAAAAAAATATCAGGTTCTCGGGTTTTACGGTTGTCTAAACCATTGAATGAAACTATTTTTTCGGATCTAAATGGCGTATATTTGTTTTTTTAATAAAAACCAAGGTCGGGTTCACGGCTGAATGATGTAAAGGGCCCGATATTTTAATTAATTTGAAATAACAAATATATGCGATTTAGATCCGAAAAATTAGGTTTATTTCTAAAACCGAAAAAAATGTTTAAATCGCACAAATTGGTCTAATAAAATAAAGGGAACTAGTTATGTACACCCGGATATCGAGCCGGATTACGTGTCCGGGAGTATATACCTCGCACTTTTTTCGTAAAGGGCTAGAATACAAAAATAGTGTTATCATCGAAGAAAAAATTTTCCCCCGGTTTTGCAAACCGAATTCCCAACAAGGACTTATAAAAAAGACGTTTAGTACACTAGTTTCAAAATTGCATAATAGTTTTTAATCAATCAAACATTGTTTAAATTTAGGGCACTTAATACTGAAAATGCGTGGTGACTCGAGTTATATATCCGGAAGTGTTACAAATACTACCGTATGTACGTTACTACAACGCGGCTAAGTGACAAAATCATTTTTGAGATATCTAAAAACCATAACCTTTCCAATATTGAAATTCTTTAAAGATATTTTTGCTAAGAATCATTAGGGTAAGTTCCGATAAATCCTATACGTTAACTAACTTTAACTGTTTTGATATATAGAGAATTTTGAGCTCTATCTTATGCTGTTTAAAGCAAATATTCCTGTCACATACGTGGACGGCAGAATAGATAATTTACGTTACATTAATAAAATCTCGTGAAAGTTCCTGTGTTTATCCTGCACGTATTTTTATAATTTAACTCTATTTAACTCTATTTTCAAATTTTACGAAATAGTCATAGATTTAGTTATAATTGTTTAATTAATCGTTGTACACCTGCAAGTGATTAGCACCAATTTTATGGAAAAAAACACAATAAGTTCGCTCTTCAAAGAATTCCCATTTACTTGAAATGTTGACCTGAAACTTAAGGTAACTTAATGGTAATCGATTGGAAGAAAGCTCATTGTTTCCTTTGCACACCTGCAAGCCATAAAACTAATTCTTTTATCTTCAATTATTAGTAAAAGAGTGTATTTTTTTAATACAAATGTCTACTCGTCGGCGGCGATTCATAAATGATTTCTCTATATAAACCTATAATCTGGAAACACCACCAACCCATTTACATGTCCCACTGCTGGTCACGGGTCTCTTCTCAGGCGAGGGTTTTGGCCATAGTCCACCACGCTACCGTAGTGCGGGTTGGGGACTTCGCCCGCTTTCCGAGGGTTGTGAACTATTCTTCAACGGGTAAGATTTTCAAATTCAAACCCACTGCTTCTGTATGAGAGGCATTAGGTTAAACAATTAAGCATAGGCCACACCGCGAGCGAACCTAAGCTAAGTTAGCTTGGCTCACATAGCTGCATGCCTGGTGGCTATGCGACTTAGCTCGATTAGCTTACTTCGCGGTGTGAACAGATGTATGAAAACATGCTGAGGCTACGTGAACGAAAGCTAACTTAGCTTATCTGCACTCGCGGTATGGTCTGCGTAAAGACCACGGCTAGTGAAGTTTTTATTCTGAAAACAAATGTGTGATGATATATTACTTGAAAGTTAATAGACGCGCTGCGTTGGTAATAACGTCACGACGGTTAACAAAAATTGTAATACGGAATAAATAATAAGGAAAATAAATAATTGTTTAATTCTTAAATATTCCTTAACTTTCATAATTCTACTCGGTTGTGACATAAATAGGGCCCGGAAATGAATGTGTATATTGTAAATAAATGTATATTATAAAAATATAATGTTGTGCAATATCTATCAGAGAAAATAATATATTTGTATGGCATAGTAAATAAAAATGTAGAAAAGTAAATCTTCACAATTGTGAAATAGTTCTAAACTGCTTTCTAAGTTAGATAACTCACAGAATTTTTAATTTAATATTTTTTGTGTGTGCATGTGCGAAGAGAGGAAAGAATGAGAAGGTTTATGTTATTATTGTCATATCCCTAGGAATTTATATGTAATGTTATGCTTGTAAAGTTGTTTGTAAATGTAATGTGGCATATTTCTTTCTTGTAAGTTTGAATACGTTTAAAGTATGTGGTTTTAAATTAGAGAAAAGAATGCGACTAATTATTATTTTTTTCTTTGTTTGGTTCACAGAACTGAATGTACACAAAATAAATTACATATAAATAAACAAAACAACAATCATCTTACCATGTCGGAGCATGCACTTCTTTCTCACTGAACACAGTGTGCTAAATATATAATATAATTATTACTCTCAAGAAACATTCAGTTATAAAAAACTATAGGTAGATACTCTCAACCAATACTTATTACGAAATAAAACAATTGGCTTTGACTTTTAAATTTAACATAACGATAACAATAATCGCCTAAAAGAAGAGACTCAGGGATTAAATATATTTAAATCCTGACAAATACGATTATATGATGAACAGATATATATATATAGGTATATATATATATACATATATATATATGAATTTATTTTTTTCTGTAGTGAAATCATTTCAAAATGGTCCAATTTAGAGTCGTACGTGACTGACTTTCGACAAAGGTTTTTCGAGCAACAAATGCGATACAGGAACCTCTCTTGTAGCCTGTCTTTAATGTGTACCTTGATGGGCTCCAGACTGGGCAACAATAGGTACTCTAATATACCACTTTACGTACATAACATCATTATTTTTGTTCATAAACGCCAATGTTTGTAAAATATTTATATTTTTATGGAAATTTGGAGAATCAATTTCTGAGTTCCTGTACAAACGGCTAGTGCACACGTGCAGACCATAAACCGATAGACAATTTTTTTGGGAACTTTTGTTTTGTTCGAAGAATTTTTCGGTCACGGCATTGTTTTTGTTTGTCGTTTGTTAACAATGTGCTAAGTACTTGCACATGTGCTACGGGTGCTAAGTCTCTTTGCTTTTGTATGACAATGAATTGTTATTTTTATCTTTGTAAATATAAGAATTCATTTACTATATAGCCACATTTTATAATACTCACCTATTTAGAATGCAGTACGTAAAGCTACTTTTAATGGATGAATGTAAAACATTTTTTATAAGGTGAGTTCAGAAATCCTACAATATATCGCAGAAAAAACATTTCAATTATTCCCCAAACATGAGCTTACACGGGCTTATTAAAAACACTCTAAGTAAAAATCGTTATCCGGGCATTTAGAGCGTCGATAACGAACCCAGCTCAACAATGGGCTTAACGCGCACACTCATTACAAAAACCGACATAACATAACGCGCTACGTCAAAAGCTTCTCTATTCAAAGAGTATACTCCAGTTTTTTTGTCGGCAAGGCTTTGTAGGCGCCGCGATTGGCTGTACTGTGCCCCGCCCAGCCGCCGAAGTCCCGCCATTGGCGCGGGCCGCTGGAGCACCCTCGACACTAGTCCGGAGCTGAGTAGGCTGTCGAGGTACGAGGGCGGCGCGGGGTGTGCTTCACCCCGAGGACCACTCGAGGGTTGTTTAGTGCAGGCTCGGCGTCGCAAGGCGCAGCACGTGTCCCGCGAGTGTCTCTTACAACCGTCAAGATTATCCCGAAAGCAAACTCTCCCGGCCGGGAGATGAAGTGTGAGGAAGGCGAGAGCGCGCGGTCTCCGCCACCGACGTTCCTTCCGCCAGCCTCCTTGCTGGCATGGAGTCCAATTCTGTTGCCACCATGGGGCCCTGCTTTCTTGCCCGCACTTTACCCGGCAGCTTTTCGTTCTGCGTTCCCTGGGTGAGCAGTACGAATCTTTACTGGAAGTGATTAGTGCTAAAACTGTTATCGTACTTATGTTTAAAAACGGAAATCGCTTCTGACAGTGTTAGTTGTACTATTTGCTCGATGTCAAATAAGTCGATTCAAATGGAACTCATAAAATGATACCATCCTTCGAAAACTGTTTCTGACTAAGGTATATTACGCCTGCACATTTAATTGATTAGGATGATTACTGGGGTATGTACGTGTGTAATTCTGAATTGAAAAGAACAATACGTTAAAACATAATTTTTACCTATCATTCGTCTGTAGAGGATATGTACGTGTCTTCCGACAATCGTCCCACACAGATAATCCTTCCCAGATCGTGACACTCCATGTGACAGTTTTTGCACCTCTTAGTGAGAGCTCGTTAACAGGGTGTTTACAACCTGCGGCTTTTCTGTCCGCCGCTTTTCACGTCGTCACGTACCGACGACCCTTCCTTTACATGCTACACCTTCACCCGACATATTTTAATATCGACACTGTGCACAACTTCCTTTATATGGGTCACGTTTTTCTTGAGAGGTACTCAATGCAACAATAGCTTAGATTGACGGAATGTTGTTTTCTTTCAATTACGGAGTTGAGTTCTCGAGACGTGCTTCAAATTTAGTAAGTATTTGTCAAATTGCAGCGCTTGAGATGTTATTGGTATACTTGAGAAGAGTATCGTCGCTTTACTAACGTTTTACTTAAGTTCACCGGTCCCACGTAGCGAACAGTTTGGCTTAGGTAATTTAGTTCATGATTGGCGTAATACCAGAATAATGCGGTAAAAACATTTGTTATGGTAATGCACAACGTCGAACTCGTTGATGTTTTTTATATGGAACTTTAATTTTATTTCGCGTGTTAGAAATTATATTCGCGTAGGTACATTGTAATTTTCTGAATGTTTAGTTCAATAAATGGGTTAATGATGACGATGTTTTTTTTTACTTGAGTTTTTAATTTCTTTTATAATTTGTACTTACTTTTATGTATCATTTGCTAGATTTGTTTAAATTTATCAGTTAAAAATTGTTCCTCTATTCAACAGGCTCCTAGACAGCATGAAGATGCCAGGTCAACGCGCAGGCTTTCAAATCTCGGACATCCTGGGCTTGAACGAAGGCAAGCCGATGGAGCCGGCGGGCGGTGCTGGCCCAATGGGTCCGTGTTCTTTGGAGTTGCCACCGTATCCGCAGCCGCCGTACCCGCCGGAGCTGCTGCGACATCATCAGCCCTGGCTCATTGAACATCACGAGGGTGCTGGTAAGTGCTTACCAATTACAAATTTTGGTTTTTGGTTTTGTTGTAGTCAGTTGAGTAAACAATTAGGTATGGAATTCGCTCCTTTATGTGAACTCAGTCTATCTCAACATATCAATAAATAAAAAGGGTACTTTACACAGAGTTTAGAACCAGACAATAGTGGTTGGAGGTAAAACGGTTTGTAGCTCATCTCAATGGCTGTTCCTCAGCGCCGTTTGTATTCTGCTACAGCCTGTCATGTTCACAAAGAGAAAAACTAACACATGTATCGTTCCAGTTCTAAAATTTCCAGAAGATTATAAAATAGATAGCGCAAAATCTTTAATTATATAGATTTTAGTATCACATACATCTACACTACAATGTCTACCTCGGAGGTTTGCCTTGCTTGTAATCCTTTATCACGTATTATACGTATTTACTTAGATTGACTTATAAAGTGAGAGTACACAGTTAGTTGTACTTTGTAAGTGCGAATAAGACATCATAAAGCTATGAAAAAAGTTCATTTATGTATAAGATAAATTATAACTGGTTAAGTGCTTATATAATTCGGTGGCAAAGTCGCTTCAAAGCGCGCTTCGTATGAAGAGCTGAACTCGAGATAATGCTCGATTCAATTTTATGGCAGTACTTCTCTTCCTACTAGAGTATGGTTAACACTTTATTCAAAATTCGTCTTAGAAATGAAACATAGCATTTAGAAAATATGCTTGTTTACTCCTTTGCAGGTGTGATAAGATGTGTCTTTAAAGAAAATTAAAATTAAAGTAAATATTATTATTGTAATTAAGTTTATTGAATTCACGACGTTTTACCACTATGATATTTAAGTTTTTTTTGTGAAATTGCTCCCCTAGTTTGTTATAATTATTAATACAAAGATCGAACATCATCATCATCATCCACAGCCTGATTTCACCCACTGCTGGGTATTTACCCTCCGAAGTTTGTGGCATCCACCACGGTCCTGTGCTAGCCGCATCCATTGTCGCCGCTCGATACGTACTATGTCGTCGACCCACCTTGCATCTGGGCGCCGACGCTTCTTTTGCCCATCCTCAGCCATCAATCAGTCGACGTCTTGCTCCACGTGTCATCACCTTGCCTTGCTATGTGTCCCGCCCAACCCCATTTGAGTTCCATACTCCGAGTTCCAGCATCGTGGACTTCATTCAGTCATCGGATCTCAATGTTCTTAACTCGGTCTATAAGGCAGATGCCGTGCATGGCGCGCTCTATAGCCCTCTGTGCGACTCAACCTGTATACGTCTCCTGCGTGAGCATACTTCCATGTCGGCACCATACGCCATGGTGGGCAAAGATCGAATACTAAGAAAAATTTCTTCGATCCAGCTGGATTCGTGCTACAGCTGCCAGCTAAACCACGGAACGAACCTGCTGACTTTACGAATTATTCTATGTGCTTCTTGGAGAATTATTCTATGTGATCTTTGTTTTTGGTTTTTGACGACTTTATTAAATATTATATTGTGATCTGATACAGGAATATTGCAATGTTGCATTTTAGTTATCGATCTTTGTTGTTACAGATACAAACTAAAATCGGGATATAAAATATGTGAATTCAATTTTTTTGAAACTGCAAACGTTATTATGAGACACGCGAAATAAAAGTGTTTGTTATCTCAACGTGAATTTGATATAACTGTCATGAGTGCTTGTAAAGTTTCCAGTTCTTGACGTATAGGTATTTACAAGTATATCAGTGATAGCAGGTTGTGATACAGGTACACGTGAAGCGTAAAACTGCTATTTGTACAGCGCGATCTGTGACTTATAGTGTTGTTTGTTATCTAATGTGGAAAGTTATATAATGAGGTTTTCTATATGTTTCTGGTTTACTATAGCCGAATTATAATAACGCACACACTAGTTTTTATTTACTTTATTTTATTTATACGGGAAACACACAGCGTCATATAATAAATTTCATTTTTAACGCGTATGAAACAAACCCTGGCTAAAACAGTTTTCGCTAATGTTTAAAATGAGTGATGAGGTATAACCAGGCTATATTCAAAATAATAATTACCATTACGTAAATAACTTTTCATTATAATTTAAATTTGTTGAATATCACGATATTCAACTATCATGATATTCAATTATTTTATGTGAAATTACTCCACTAGTTTGTTACAATTGTTAATACAAAGATAGAACACTGAGAAAAATTCATTCGATCGCTTAATTATGTTATAATAAAAGTTCCTAATGGCAGATTTGAACCGGAATGGCTTATTGTCTAATATATTAATTTCATGATATTCATTATTAAATTTAGTGCAAGCCCGTACAAGGAAACTATTTTTAGAATAATTATCGTGACAATGAGGTATTGCAAATGGGCCTCGCGGACGTAGGTTGAGTCTTGGACATTTCAATCAAATTTGGCTTAATAAATAAGTAGAATCAATGTGATTATTAACAATTTTGAATTAAATTATTGCTACTTATTATATAATTATTACTCATAGCTAGGTAAAACCCTGTATCGCGGGTGCCATGAACATACACATAGATTACCACAAGTTACACACTAATATACGAGAGAAATAAATGTAGGTCATACAAATATTTCTCTCGACCCAGGAATCGAACCTGGTACCTTTGCGTGGTAGATCAGCATGGTCGTTCGGCCGTGGAGGTGGTTAATATTGCCACCGTTAGTTGAAAGGGCGTATGTGACATATGATATGTCTACTGCCGTGATCAGTATACAAAAGGCCGATCTGTCACTACTTTTATTTTTTCGTAGGTGGATAAGGTATAAAAAAAAGTTGGATAAGGTATGAAGTTACCGCAAGGGAAAAATAGATATTTTTTAATTTAATTTCTTTGAACATTAATTTCTCGACTTTGAGTTTTTGTCACAAGCGCCCTTTCAACTAACGACGGCGGCAGAATATTGTCATAAATCGCAGTTTGTTTTGTCGCATTACTTGCTTTCGGTAGACTTGATTGTTAATTTATTTTTTGATTTTGGGTATAATTCTTCATGCGCTTAGGTTTGGTCTACAGACTGTTTTGCTTATCACTGATTATAGCAGACTATATATTTTTTGAGTACCAAACCGTTGAGTGTTTGTACGAAATTGTTGTACATGAAGTGTGTTGTCGAATTATCATATACAAATACGTGGACCCACTCCAAATAATAGCTATTCGGTAGTCGCGTTCGAGAGTCGAGATTATTTTGTGAAATGCTCCTCTAGTGGAGTGCCTTCATCGCTAATCTGTTGTAGGCATTAATTATTTTTATCGCTTATCTAACACTTTTGGCAATCATAGTAGATGCAACGTCGATTGCTTCTAAGTTATAACACTAAATACTCCTATCGCCATTATACTGGAAAAAAACAATTATTTCACAAGAAAATGAATTTGAAATAAATGCTATTGAAATTTCAATGCCTAATATTTTTTTATAAATATACCACATATAAATTAACGTGGATGACCATGACACATGATTCCACATTTTATGTTCTATCAAAACTATGTCTGAAATACTTGCATTTTGCATAAGCAATTACGTCGCGTTTTCTTAATAAGTAAGTCATTTGACGACCTCCGTGGTCGAGTGTCTTGCACACCGGTTTTTATGGTGTAGCCCTCTCTAAGGTGCCGGGTTCGATCCCCGGCCGGGTCAATGTAGAAAATAACTTTTCTATATCGTCTCGGGTCTGGATGTTTATAATACCGTCGTTGTTTCCGAGTTCCTTAACACAAATGCTTTAATTACTTACTTTGGGATCGAAGCAACGTATGTGATCTTGTCTAATATTTATTAATGTTATATTTTCTCTATAAATAAATGATTTTCCGCAGTATAATAACGATATTCTAAAATCTAAAAACAAAAAATATTATATTATATATTAAAATATTATATTATAAAAATATATAAACAAAAAATATTTATAACGGAGACGCAATAAAGCCTTTACAATTAGCAAATGTGTAATAGTAACTATCACTTAACAAATCACATTTAAAAATGATCTTACATTGAAAATTGCACACATTACAGTGTAGTGTAATAGTTCACGCCCCACAGCGGGGTAATTTGGCGTTTATTCTGGGGTGATGTGACAACAGGGGTACGGTGGAACGAATTCATCGCCAATAGTGGGACATAGTGGGATATAGCAGCTGCGTGCGATCAATTACACACTGTTGCAAAGCTATATATGCCTTATTAGATGACAGTTACACATTTTATTGTTTTGTTACAATGTTGTGTTGGGGTACTGGATACCTATTTCCATTATGTGATGCGACTTTTGACAAGTAGAAGGATAAATTTATGTATATAATTTATACTCAGTCAGAGGCAACATAGCACTTTTTGAAATTGCTCAGTGAATACAATTTTGCAGCCGAATCGAATTTTAATATAAAGTGATGCCTGAATGAACCTTTATTTTATTGACAATCGCAGCATTGATATGATAATAAGATTACCAAACTCCTATTTCGGATATTAGCGCGAGAACGCGAGAACAGTGGACATCACGGGACATGACACGATGCTTTTATTAAACCTGCCGCCGTTTATTGAGGTGAGCTAAGGAACAAAAGAGCTGCCAGCTGCTTGGGGTGGGAGTGGCGTTTATCCCTCACCTCTTCCCCTTCCCTTCTGTGCCCTGTACCACGCCCAGCGTTCCCCGTCCCCCCGCGTCGCGCCTATATTATCATATCCGTGTGAAACTCGTGCTACGCGAGGGGTGAACTTGTAAGCCATCAACAATGTAATATTCGCCGCGATTTTTTTTTCCTATAATATTTATTTCATATTACGTTAAGACACTCTTAAATAGGCCGTGCAGGGATAAGATTGAGTGTGGAAGTTACTATCTGCTTATGACAGCCATATTTAAAAAAATATAGTCACTTATATTACTAATATTTAGCCGTACCGAAGAATAAGTATGTTCGAATCAAATTTTTTAAATATTTTTTTTAATTATCGCAGGTGTTTTGGGGCAGCAAGCTAGTCCAGACAGTACTTCAAGGGCTTCCGAGATCTCATACGTGGGCGTGTCCGCCTCTTCGCCACCCGTCGGCGACCCCCGACATGAACACGAGCATGAGGATGGCGACCAGGACGTGCACGACATCGAGCACGACGATGAACATGATCTTGAACAACACCCTGCCAATAACACAGACCCCAATATAGCTCACAAAAAACGTAAACGACGAGTGCTCTTTTCAAAGGCTCAGACCTACGAGCTAGAGAGGCGGTTCCGTCAGCAGCGTTATCTCTCCGCCCCCGAAAGAGAACACCTCGCCAGTTTGATAAGGCTGACTCCAACGCAGGTAAAGATTTGGTTCCAAAATCACAGGTACAAGACGAAACGCGCTGTCCAGGAAAAAGGAGCGCATGACTTGAACATTGGCGGTCTGAATTCTCCTAGGCGAGTTGCCGTGCCTGTGCTAGTGAAGGATGGCAGACCATGCATTAGTAAGCCTGATGGCCTTCCCCCTATGGGGATGGGTTTGCCGCCGTACCAACCGATGCATTCCCAGCACCCCGTCAGCAGTCACGGACCACAACCAACTGGCTGCTGGTGGTGAAATTAAGCACACTAAGTCAAGTCATACATTCTGTGGTTTACTAGTCGATATGTCGCAGCTTATTTGCAAGACCATCAACAGGCAAATGTCTGATAACGCTACGCCGTGTTTATTTTGTTCGACTACTTTATAACCTTGCTAATACGTTGCGACAATAAATTATTGTGAGGATGGATACGTCCCATAGTTAAAAATTTAAGTTGGAAATTGTTGTCCAGAATAAAAATTTACTCGAATAATAAATGATAAACGTATTTGCTGCCATTGAACATTTTAAGGTATCTGGAGTTCCTACTTTCGTGTATAAATAATTATTACGTATTCTGATCGGTGCCAACCGATCATGTGTTACGTACTTTGTAGGGGTAGTAATTGTAGCCTCAGGCGTTGAATTGTAGTCATAAAGTACATTCCATCGTAAAGGAAGTCTGTATATTAATGTAAAATTTGACGAGTATTAGTTAATTAATATTATGAGAATTGACCAGATTTTATCAAATGCAATATTTAGATATAAGGTCCAGTATTATCATAGTCGAATATACTTAATAGTGGATAATTTTATTTATGTATATTCCAGATAGAAATTTATATTAATATTTTAATTAAGTAGAGTAGATGCCTGTGACTGTTGTCGATGTTTGTATATTCTGTAAATATTGATTTGTGTGGCCAGTTACCGGGCAATGAATTTTCATTACACTCATAAGTGTCATTTTCTTTCATCCGCTTTTGCAACTATAAAGTGTTCTGTAATCATTCCATTAATTTTACCAAACTGTGTTTAAATATATTTAATGGTGTAATAAGCCTTATTATATACTTATTAATGATTATATTCCCTAAGTATCTCTATAAGATACCAGTGTAGAATAGAAACGCCTGCATATTACTTAAGATTGTAAAAACGTGTTGAATAAATTATTATGAGAATATAAAATTAATTGAATGTGAATCTTGTTGTTTTGTTCCCTTTATAGCTTCGTAACTAACTACGCCGCATAACATTTATTCCGCACATTCCGTACAAGTACAACAAAAATAACTTTTATGTATAAATATATTTCACACTTTGATGACCTGTTTGGTCGAGTGGCTTGCACACTTGTTTTACCGGGTTCGATCACTGTCCGGGTCATTGTAGAAAAACTAACTTTTCTGTAATGCATTGAATTTGATTTTTATTTATTTAAATTTTACTGCACACAAAATAGTACAAACGGCGGACTTAATGCCATTCGGCATTCTCTACCAGCCAACCGGAGAGCTGAGTTCAGAATGAATAACAAGGGTGCATAACATGACAAGTAAAGACAGTTAGGATCAAAGTTTATAAATAATTATGAAACATTATTTACACACAATATATACATGAATTTCAGACGAATGGAATGCAGATTGAGACTCCAACATGAAATTGATTGAAATTGCTTAAAAGTTAGCTCATTCGGCGTATTTTGAATATAGGATGGCAGAGCGTTCCAGAGTGTCGTATGATGTTGTCTAATATTTATTTATTTATATACCATTAATTAGTGGTTTTAAAATATCTGAAATATGCCATAGATGACAAACATAGGATATCTATTTTGGGTGTTCGTTACTAAAAAGGTTCCATCTAAAAGTATTAAAGCAGTTCCTCTATACCACAACCAAGTCCATATTGACACTATCAGCGTAGTTTCCTTTCCCGGTTATTTGCACCATGATGAGGTAATGATCCCCGTTCCAAGCACGGTTTGTTTCTTTAACCAAGTGAACGTTCTGTCCATCTGTTTGCCAGTTAAATATTTACCGGTGGTTTATCTAATCGCTGCCGAGCGATAGCTCGACCCGATTACTGAAATATCTACCTATAGATGTGTTCTCAACACCTGTGCTATTTATTGCTGCACCTATCTGTCTGTTTCTATGTCACAGCGGTAAATGCTGGTATTTCGAAAAAACTAATCAATCTTGCCTCTGATATTTTCAAGATTATTAAAAAAACGTGTGTACACGTTTTTTTAATAATCCAAAACCTCTTGACTACAAAATTTTTGCTGTTTAATTATAAAAATTTTTGATCTCTCACACAACCATGAAACAAAACAAACAACTATTATCTATTCTGATTTTGGATTTATTTTTGACAATATAGTTATTCGCCTATTTCTGCGGAAAATACGAAACACTGTGGTGTATCTAAATATATAAAAACGAATAAGAACTTTATCTAGTGACTTATGAGAATTGATAGTCGTGTCTATTCATTTCATTCGATAATGATTATGACTCATAAAAACTGCTTTGGCAGCGTTAAAATAAGTTATAGTTAAAATATTTTTTATTTAGATATGAAAATGGGACATAGGACAAATAAAACACCTTTTTTTATAATATTAAGTGACCGGACAAACAAGTCGTGTGCCTGGTAGTAAGCGTCACGCCTGTCCCTAACAGTTGCAGTGTCACTCAGAGCTTTAAATCACAAAGATCTGAGGGGCACTGCCACTGCGCCCGACACCCTGAGACATAAGTTGACAAGTCCCATGTGCCTGTAATTTCACCTGTATCTATGCTTAAATAGGAGTTATAAAAATTCATATTTTAAGTATACATAATTTTTTCTGACTTTCATGTGATAAAAGCACTTTTGACGCGTGATCACATGGGCTTTATTGAACCTAAGAGTTTTGTAAGAGATTTTTCAAATTAAATTATTTGAATTTCTTATGGAGTAACATCGAATTTAGCCTGGTAAACTAAAAGCTTCGAAAAAAATCCGTAACTGTATTCTCGAATTTGATTCCTGAGAAGCATAACATCCTACATAATTTTTCGAGTTCTATCGACCGTAAAACTGTATATACGAAACTCGTCGGTATTGAGTTCTTTAAAAGTATTATAAAAAACTCCAGACCTTTACCTACTTCGAAGTACTTCATTGTAAGTTTGGAGTTATAGTATAGCTCGGCTCCACGATAAAAACAGGGTACCTACAGCTTGTGTCCAAGCCCTCCGCCAGTGATACGCCTTCACGGGCGTCTCTGGTGGACCCGGTATTGTCTCGCCGGGGTTTGTGGTTAACTGCAGGGATTAACACGGTCGTAGTGGCCGGGGCGTTAGCCCCGCGCGCAGCCAGCGTGTTTTAGTAGCAGTGTGGACGCGAAGCGATGCGCGGGACTCGTGAGTTGCCCTTTAAGTCGGAAGCTATGTCCGGACATTGTCGCACGACACTACGACCGGCATGTTTGGCACTAGCCCGGAGAGCTAGTAGAGGATGAGCTAGACGTCCTCCGGGTCCTCCAGATGCAAAGGTTTATGGGAACTGGAGAGACGCTTCGGCGTCGGGAGGTGAGCGTGCCTACAGCACCGGTACCTATTTGGAGCTATTTTCCGGAGGGTGCTGTGTGCACCCGGGGCAACTCAACCAAGGCACTAGGCATTTGAGAACCGGATGAAATCCGTGCAGACGGGCTGATCTGGGGTCAGGCCCTGACTGAGAAGCGCGCTATAACCAAGAGGTTGATAGGGAGGATAACTATACACAAAACTTATGTATGTAGAATGATATGGGAGTTGTCTACACAGCTATACGAGAACAATGAATTGGTAAATAATTCTCAGAGTTCTGGGCAAAACAGCCCTCAATTATTTGACAGTGAAAATTTCGTTGATACTCCCGCTGATTTTTATGCTACAGACAATAACGATAGCAATTTTGATTGGACGCCTCCTAAGTCAAAATGTCGCAAATGATAGATGACTCTACATAGTACACGTTCGTGACTCCACAATACCTGAAATTGCTATTTTAATGCATAAAATAATAAAAAAAGGTTATTTCGAATATAATTAGATTCTTCTTCATAAATTTTGTAGCAACGAAAACAAAAAAAAAACTTTTTATTTTTTAACTAAAGTCCTTTGCCGGTACCAGTCATTCCATCATACAGTCGGTACCTATAATGGTTTTGTATTTTTTTTTCTCATTGTAATTCCCGACTGTGTGATTGGATGACTGATACTGACAAAGGTTACTTTAGTTAAAATAATAATAATAAAAACAATAATTTTCATGTTGTATTATAAATTTTATTTGTAAGGTGTCACATGACATTACGGTAAGATTTTTCTATTTGATTTTTGTTTAAAAGCAGAACACGGTATGTGAACTAGTTTTTTTGTTTTATTGTAATAAAAATAAAAGTAGCCTCTAATATCCAAACTTTGAATATTAGAATATTCTGTTATTAAAAATAGATCAGTTTTATTCTTATGCCATCCTAAATGTTATATATACTGCATTTTAACACAAAATCGCTTCTCCTGTAAAATTACAAAAATGGCAGTTGCAGTGTAATGCTTCTCAGGTACGGAATTATACTTTACGATATTGTATAATACTTTCATTTTTCGCAGACCCCGCGGCTTCCAAAACAATTAGCGACCATATAGCGACTTACTTTGCGTAATGTTAAATACAGCTAACTACCCTATTATACATTTGTATTATAAGTCGTTTTCAAATGTAGTAAGTTTACATTTAAAGTAGCCAGTATAAACTTTATGTATTCATTTTTAACAATACAGAAGTGCTTACTAAAGCGTAAGTATGTTTTCTTGCAAATAGCTTTAAGAAATACAAACTTTAACAAATACCTCAAGCGTCACAATGCTTCGTGTATATGCTTCTATGCGGATCAATTGGAATCGTTCAATTCAACGAAGTGTCGTTATTAAATAAATAATAACATTACAAAGGGCTGAGTCGTCAGTAGCGACAATAGGACCACAGAGTGTGAATTAATTCCGATGAATTCGAGAAACGCCTTCGTTTTTCAAAAGGGCGGGTGAATCGCTAAGCCGATTACTGAATACAAATACAGCCTTTCGGCTCACATACGTTGGATATGCAGTTTGTTTTTATAAACATTCGCTTAGTGCTCAATAATTGAAATAAATAAAATTGTTATGAGACGCTCCACTGTGCGGATCGAGCAGTCTTTGTTGTACAAAAACATAAAAATAATAAACGATTGGAAAATTCAAAAATTCCGTTAAAGAAAATCGAATCGAAAAAAGGCTGTATTGTCATTTTAAAAACTCACATTAAAATTTCTTTCATGTGGATAAGGAAATCGGCAGCTACGAATTACTGCACGGAGATAGACCCATATGACAGTTCTACAACTGGTAGAAAGACTGTGGTCCCTGCCAACCAAATAACCTAACCTAACCTAAGAATTCGGTATATTATTTTTATCGTTAGAATAATAACGCATAGAAACCTAGTCCGCACATGCTAAGTGAGGCAAATTGAAGCGCGCCCAATGGGCCTACACGAGCGGGCGGGCCTTCAGTGCTCAAGGTCAACTTGCACCGCAAACAGATCAAGAATTTTAGCTAAAAATGACGAAATGTGCGGTAAATGAGTGTAAACATACGTCAGACAAACATAAAATAGATACTAAGATCACATTCCACAAGGAAGTAACGCGTTTCAACTTGTATTTTTATATAAA